GCCATCAAGTACTTTGGGGATATCATCAGTGTTGGTCAACGACTGGTATGTTTGCTTTTCTTTTTCTTGTAGTGAGTTTTGATCACAGATGTAAACTATTCTTTTATACGCAGATAGTTTAATGATTATTAAGTTTCAGGTAATAACAATAGTTTTGCAATTATTGTTATTTACTAATTTTTTTAAAATGTCTTCCTCCCTGCCCCCTTGCAGCTTCAAGGTGCACGGCTCTTAGGAATTCCAGTCATTGTAACTGAACAGTATCCCAAAGGTCTTGGTAGCACTGTGCAAGAAATTGATTTAACAGGAGCTAAACTTGTGCTTCACAAGACAAAATTTTCAATGGTGTTGCCAGAAGTTGAAGCAGCACTCGCAGAGATCCCTGGAGTCCGCAGTGTTGTCCTGTTTGGAGTAGAGGTATGTGCCTTGCCATTCTTGTACTAGTTTGTGGTGATGTTTGTTGACCTACAAAATTATTAAGTGTTGCTTTCCATAATTTAAAAAAACAAACCACAATTCAGTTAGTATTACATAGACCTCAGATAACCTCTACAGAATAAATTATTCTTATGTTGTCTTTTATATTGTCTCATAATAAAATTTGAAACGACATTTGTAAGTTACAGGCTCTTGACTCGATCTTGGCTGTCATTTGAAGTGTACATTGAGGTCCCTAGTTGTGTCACGGGTAGAAAAATTGGTGTTTGAACTCTAATTAATTATGTACTCTAATTTGGCCTTGTGCTCCTCATGTTTTGTAGTAATGGTTTGTTGGTTGTTTTTTTGCCTTTGATTTCTCCCCCATAGACTCATGTCTGCATCCAGCAAACAGCATTGGAATTAATTGGCAGAGGTCTAGAAGTTCATATTGTAGCTGATGCCACCTCATCAAGAAGTATGATGGACAGAATGTTTGCTCTTGAAGTAAGTTTCTTAGTTAAGGCTTTCTCCACCTTGAGTTTTTATGTTAAGTTCCCTACTTACTGTAAGCTAACAAGGAGTTCTGAGGATGGTAAGCAATGGGCAAATGTAGATTTGAGAAGAGGTGAGTGCTGTATATCTAAAATGGAGAAAGATTACTGCCTTATTTTTCCTCCTTAAATTATGATTTAATATGTGGAACCCAGTTTGGGATGTTTGGGTTTTAACAGTGATTGTTTCATGCAGTCTACTTATTCTGTATCAGCATTATCATTTTAGGGTATTTTGTTATGCAGTATTATCTTTACAGCAGATTAAATATGCCACAAACATTTTGTTTTATTACTATTCAGCAGTTGCAAGTCCTTGATATGCAATGAAATATAGTAAGTGATCCTGTTCAAATCTCCTTGTGTGTCTGTCCCTCCCTCTGCTTTTCCTCATCAGTGCAAATTAAAGCTTAATCTCAAGTCTCTGTGATTATAGTAAAGATTCCCCTCCACCCTGCTTCTGGAGCTTAGCCTAACTAAATATTGAGAAAGTGGAGATAAATGTAACAAGAAGATTTAAAAACACATACAACTGTGTGGTAGCAAATTTGTGCGAATGTTTTTTTTATGGTGTACTCTAAGTTGCCTGCGGGCATCACTGTTGGAAATAAAAACTGATATATACATTAAATACTGCAATTTTTGCCTCAGGTCCTAAAAATTATTTGCAAATCGAAATTAATAATTATAGCATTTTATACTTCTTTCCATAGATTTTGAGAGGATTTTTAATTTCATGTGTTCCTGATGAATAAGAGAATTAAAGGACAAAAGGAAATCCCCAGCATATAGTGGTTGATGAAACCCATGACTTTGATTAAGTGGAAACCTAATGTTCACTGTCATGTAGAGCATGGTGGCACACAGAGTACAGGAGTGACTGAAGTCATAGATTTTTCAAATCTGCAGCAGCAGTAGTAGACAAAACAAATATAGAAAAACTGAAATCTGTTTGTCTTATATTGTGTATGTCTCACCATATAGCTCACAGATCCTAGTCACAATCTTTTAATTAGTGAGTCTGACACTGTCTTTTGTGCAAACTTGCACCGTACCTGGTGAGCTGAGGTGAGATTTTTTGCCCTGGGTTCCCTGGATCCATCTTACCTTTCTGGGAAGAACATTTGCCTTGTCAGAGTAACACAGCCCTCTGTTCACAGTAAGCTTTCAAGGATGATAAAGAGTGACCTTGCAGTGCTACCAACCAGCTTCCCCAGCAACCTCGAATAAGTCCCATCTGGTCCCACCTGCCCCTTCAGTTCCCCACATTTCTCATCGCATAGCGTGTGTTTGGATTGTGCTGGTGATAAACATGAAAATACCAGCAGTTGTACTAAGGAAGTCCAATTGGAATTAATTGATAACCAAGGCTTTCAGATCTGCCTGGATGATAGGAAGTCTCTGCCTTCATTCTGTGTTTAAAAAAGTCAGCAGGCAAAAACCTGCAGTTAAAACAAAAAAACCTCAGAAACTAAAAAAACCTCAGAATTTTTGTTGGTGAAATAATTCAACCCAACTGTTCAAGGTTGTGGCTGTTCTGAATCTCTGCCCTATCTGATGCAGATGGCTTGAGTGCCTTCTTTGTCTCAATTT